TAGATTGGTGTCACTGTTTTATTTCAAGGTACCCTCAGGCCCTGTTGCAATTTGTTGCCCTACCTCTGTGGCATTTCTTTCCTCTTTACCATAGAGCTGGTGGAATTCACTTGCCTTTTCTTAGGAAACTGTACTGCTTTAATTATGCTGGAGTATGGTGTCTGGCATCGAGCTGCCCCTTCAGAAGGTRTGTCTCTCACTATGCCCTCAGACAAATCTGCTAACCCTACAAATCTCRGCTGCCTAAGGCACTCCAAGTGGCAGGAGACATCTGTATTTACCTATACAGGTAAAGCCCAACCATTTTTTAACTCTTCTTGTCCAATGTCTCCTCCCTTTCCCTCTTCCCTCCTCCTTTCCCCTACCCTTGCTTCCTTTTTTCCCYTTCCTGTTATGAGAAAGCGTAAATAGTCTGAATCCTTTGTGTCCTTGACTGGAATCTGGATCCTCCCATTACAGAATATTGACCTTGGGATGTGACTTTCAGAACAACCAGCAAATAAGTTCCTTGTACATGGTGGTTACCAGAAGATGCTGTGTAAGCTGTWGCCCTGACTTAGACTGTGGTATGGTATCCTTCAGTCATTGGCAGCATGAGACTGTAGGCAATTAAAATCCAGATGATGCAAAACTCCTTGAGCTCTTGTAAGTTTCYGTGCTGAAAATATATTGCAGCTTGTCTGTAATATGGCACATCAGTTAGATTTGTGTTAAATAATCTTGTTTAATGTACCAGAATCCACAGACTGTTCTGCAGCGTCTCTCTGACCATTTTGTATGCCTCAGTTTGCTTTTTAAAGTTTAAATTCTTTTTAAACGTACTTGTGAGTTCCAAGGGTAAATACGAAACTTCAGCAACATGCCTGAACTGTTGGGATCTCCTAGATGTTTATTAGCTGTGCATTACATGCTCTCTGAAACTGGAAATGCTCTAAGTGGAGCCATGGCTCCAGAGTCAGAGCATCTGACCTTGGGGAGCACAACACAGGTCTCCAAATCCACAGGATTCTTGAATAGCCTTGATTCTGTTATCTGTGAGGTAATAATTTCCCACCTCACAAGCATGTTGTTAGKTAGAAATGTTCATTTTAGATGGCACGGGTGTTATGGCAACAGGGTTTGTGTAAACAGTAAGAATTGGGAAATGTTCACATTGAGAGCATAGCCCGGAGCACGCAGTTGTGTCTGTGCTGGCAAAACTCTGTTGGTAGWGACTTTAGAAACATTTGGAAATGTGCATGCAAAAGTCAGTAGAATGTGTTTAACTGGAAAATAGTACAAGTATTTTACCTTTTTCATAGCTTTAACTATTGAAGCTAGATCAACTTAAAAGCCCCACTTTCTTGCTCAATGGCAAAATTCCAATTAGAACAGGCCGGTGACTTTGAATATTAAGGTTTATTGAAGATGAAGATTAGGTGAAGTTACTATTAGAAACCTCTGCTCTTCCATTATAGTGGCAAGTTCCAAAAATATCTGAGTAAAATAGGAAATATTTAATAGGGAGAAAAATTTGACCTTCTCATGTTCTCCTCTCATATTTGGATTTTTTTTTGTCTTTGAAATGGCAAAAAMCCCCCAATTTTCTCCTCAGTTCAGACATTGGAAAACGCAGAGCAACTCCTCTGCATTCGGGCTTGCTGAGTCAGTGAGTCAAAATACGTTTGCTCTGGTGTTGTYTGATGCACTACATTAATATTTAATAATTATGGGCTACCTTTGCCCTTTGCTTTTCTTAAACAGTATAATGCGTTCTAAGGAGGTGTAATATAACATCACAACCTTCTGCAAAAATGGTCTTTACTTATCTGATGGGCTAAGACTGAATGTAAGCTTTTGCTTGCTCTAACATACTGGTCAACAAACCTCTTTCAAAACCTAAAACCTGTATGTATATGGTTCTGTACAGGCTTTCTGTGCTGTACTAACCCTGGCCATACTGAACTGCTAAGCCTTTTTAGAGAAAAAGAGTGGACTAACTCAGTTACCTTGTTAGGATAGTCTGCAAGGCTTGATTTGTTTGGGGAGAAAAAGCTTAGTAAAAAATAATTACAAAATGCATCTTCATTTATGTAATGAAGATCCATCTTCATTACACCAATGTTATTCTTCCCCATGTGAGTAACAATTCAACATTTAAACCAGTCTTAGAACTGTTTTAATCAGCAATCTGTTATAAAGCTGTCATCAATTTGCACGTGTCTGCCTTTCCTAGTGCCCTACTTGTATTCTATCAGAAAAGGCATTTACTGACATGTCACTGGTGCTGTGTTAATCTCACTGATTTTATATGGTCAGGGAAAACACAGCAGTCTTTTACTTAGGGCATCAAGCCTACTGGAAAATTGCAAACTAGGCTCTTTTATTTATCTCTTGGCATAGGTGGCATGGTATTGCTGTGTGTTATGATTTTAAGAAATCTGATTTGTGGTGTGTTTAATTTTTGGAGCGGTATGGTAGGCTTCTGATAACGGAAAAGCATACTCTAAAAGCAATGGGAATTAGAGATGTTACTGAGATCTCATTAAGCTAAATCTACTTTACRTGTTATGTTTTAGAAAATCTTCATGAGACCCAGGGCGAAGGAGAAGGAAGGCCTGTTACTTTTGATGAGACAAGGGTGATTATCAAAGCCTACTGTGGCACTTTAGATTTGAGATTAGTCTTAAGAATGATTTTTAGCGGTGGGCAAACAGTGGGGAGCTCTGCAGTATTTTGCATTACTTTGAGAATATGCAGAATGTTATAGCCAAAATATACAGCAAGTTGTGAATTGTTCCTGTGCATTGTATAAATTTGATTAAATCTTACTGCTCAGAGCAGTTTATAGTCCTTATTGTTAACCAAAGAAAATAAAATGCAGTTTTCATAAAGGGAAACTTTGGTGTTGGGAAATAAACAGTGTGTATATTTTAAAAACAGAAAATGTGTTTTTCTACAGTGTGTGTATTTTAAAAACAGAGGCCCCTTTGGCTGCTCTGTAGGTCAGCGTTTATCTACTCATAGCAACTCCTATTTTAGGAAGGAGGGGGAGATGTTGGAAGGTTTGTGAGATTAGTCTGTGTACCTGGTCTCTATGCAGAAGAAATTGTCTTTGCGGGTGTTGGAGGTTGAGATGTTAGCCTCTGGGTATTTGACTGACATAGTGTAGAGCAGTTGGACTGAACTGAGAAGTGGCTTAGTATTTTAGTGAACTTCCCAGAATAATGCATCTTTTCCATTCAACCTACTCTCCAGCTCCTTAGCAGTCAAAGCTTGGCCTCCCCTTTTTGTTGTCTTTTGTTTTGTCTTAAAATTATCTCTATTTCATGATTAAAAATGAAGGAGACCTTGAGTCTGCAGTGATATATGCTACCGCAGATACTTTATTCCTATTTCTTTTGTTTTTGAAACCCTCTCTTAGGCAAATTTTTCTCTCAATACTTCTAATAGTATAACTTTTTGTTGTTCACAAGGACACCAAACCAGTGCCTTGAGATGGCGCTAGGCTGAAGTTCCAGTGTCATCAGTGTGATTTGCTAGAAATGTGATTAGACAGTATAATGCCACCAAAAGAAGCCCTGACTAAACACTGAGGAGCCGCACAYGTCGAGACGAGCTGTGTGCACTGGCGTAGTGTATCAGTCCAAGGCAATCTCCTTTTCAGTAATAGTTCCCTACCCATTCCTGAATGCAATAGTCATGCAAGTGATTTGTTTATCTTCCTAGTTTGTTCTTTTTGATTTGTAAACCAAAACATGCAATTTATTCTCCACTATATTTCTACAAAATTACATAGCTTGAATGCTCACTTACTTGATTGCTTGAAAGGTTTATTCTCTAGAGTTTAGCTGTTTAATTTGTATRCTCTTGGTTGTTATTCTGTCTGAATTTGGAGTTCAGCTTTGAATGCATTGTTTTTCTTTTGCTCACATTGTTTTTATTTTACTCTCTATGCATTTTACTTTGGGTATGCCAAGAATTTCTGGCAAAATCTGTATTATAGTATATTTTATATTGCTTTAAGAATTCTTTCTATGTTCTGCTGTTTCCTGCCTGTGTATGCTCTTCCAAGACATCAGCTTGACTAAATAAAATTCCATTTCTTTCTTTCTTGTGTATCCATGCCATTTTGAGATAAGGTGTGGATTTAGATGGTAGAAACCATTAAGAGGAGTTTTGGCTTTTGGGTAATTTGTTTTGAATGCACTTTTTTTTATTGTTTTGTTTGATTTCTGCTTGCTTGCCCCTTTACCAGCAGAACAATCACAATATTCCCTCCCCAGTTTTTATTCTTCACACTGGAGAGGATAGGAATAAGAGGCATTACCTCTGCAATATTCAAGTAAACGTCTTTTGTTCTGACAGAAATTTTAGGAGTCCTTCAGACTTCTATCAGCCTGAAGAAATCCAGGACTAATTATCTGGAGCTGTTGACGATGGGTAGTTCAGGGGTGGCTTTATTTGGTATCTCTACTCTGGGGTTTCTGTAGCAGATTTAAYAGGAGACAAATTCCCCATAACTCTGCTATGTTAGTGGGAGCACTCCTCTGATTCATGAGATTAATGAATGAATATGATAGTTAAAAAAATTGAAAATTAAAATACCACTACGTAGTATGAGTGGTTTTGTTCCAATATAAATGACTCAGCTTTTAGTGATTCCTGACAGGGAATCTATGCCTTCCAACATGGGAATTTCATAAAAATAGATGGATTTGGGCAGCACAAAGTGACATTATATTGTGGGCAAATGCATTCTTATTCTGGCAAAAGATGAATGGTATTAGAAAAAAGTCACAATCTAAGAAAAAGTGAAGTCAGATTCTTGGGCAGAATAGGTAAATGTATACATGTAGTGAAGGGATGAAGGGGTAAAATAAACAACTTTTTAAATAGAGACGGAAAACTGTTCTTAAAAGATTAAAAAAAAGGTGTAAGCTTATTTCTTAAAAAAAACCCCAAATATCCTAAAACCACCTCCCCTCCAAAAAAATCCCCTTTGTTTGCTTTTGTTTTAGAAAATCTAATGAGGCCCCTTAAGAACTATGGAATCGCATGGTGAGCATATGTTTTAATTTAAATCAAGCTTCCTTTCAGATGTGCTTGGTATTGTGCTGTAAAGCTCAAGTTTTTGCTTTGTTGTTTCAGCATGTCTATGGGTTTCTTGATAGAAGAGACTGCCCCAGTTGTGTGGAGAGGGCTCATGGTAATGTCAGCTGTTGAAAAATTGTTGAGACAGGTAAGGCTTAGTGGTGTATTTGTGCTTCGAAGTAATCAGTTATTTTAAAATGCATTTAACTGATACATGAATGTGACATTATTTCATATGTTAGTTGTGAGCATTTTTGTGTCTTGGTCTTAAATTCAGGTAAGGGGGAAAATTGATACTTKTGTGTTTACTTATCCCCCTCAAACAGCGATGTTGTTCCATGCCTTTGATGAATTACCCTGATTTGCCTTCCTTCTCATTCCTTTTTATGTTTCTTTATGCAGTTAAAAAAAAAGGCATTTTGAAGTTGCATAAGGATTTGAATGYATAGGTATCTATGCATATCTACAACTGTATTTATTCCCTTATGTGCTTGTTAATTTACCAGCACTAAGATTTCTTGGCTGGCATTTGACATGTGACAGGTACAGGAAAATCATTAGCTACAATCTCTGTGTAATGCAGATAGGTTGATAGTTAATAAATTTTATGGCATGTAGAAGTGGGGTGACTTCTTTATTCCGTGACAGATTTTTTTTTCTTTTATTATGAATAGATCTGTGAAATGCTAATGAGACAAACAGCTGAAAAAATGCATTAAGGTTGCATTTTTAGACTTTGAAGTGACCCAGACTGTTCACAGCTGGCATCCATTCTAGGGATCTACTGTGTACAGCTTGGAGATCCCAAGGTTTTTGTATGTCTTCTTTAAATGCCTCCAAATCTTGTGATCCTTTAATGACTGAAAAGAATAATTTTTTTTCAGTCTTTTTCCATTTTTACTGAATTCTTCTCTAATACAGATTTCAGAATAGTGACACTCACTGCTGTGGTCACAAAAGCCATGGATCTGCCAAAATTTCAGGAAGAATGTCTTTGTCTAGAATTGGCCTTTAAAAGTAAGGGGTATCCAAGCCAATGGCTGTGTAGACTGTTCTGATCTCTTTGTGTGCTGTGTTGTGCTGGTYTGGCTCGCAAAACTAGAATGTAAAACCTTGAAGGTAGAACTAAAGTTAGCACCTGCTGTATTGGCATACTCTGCCTGGGGAGTCTGAAGGCTGGCAGGCACTCCAGGGCTGTTCCTTCAGTCAGCAGCATCCCAGATGGGAAGCGTGTGCCAGCATCCTTGGGGAGGGTGCGGGTGATGCTGTGTAATGAGCTCCTTGCTCCCTAGCAACCGGTGCAGTTACGTGCTGGCCAGCCATGCTGTGAGAATGACACAAGCCCATTMATGCTCAGGGCATCCCTGGTTTCCCTGACAGTGAAACCTGAGGTCWGAAACACAAATGCATTTGGGCTAAATTTCTTTGACTCACATGCATTTTGCTTCTGCATGATGACCAGGATAGTATTAAATCTGGAAAAAGTTTGAATCTCTTCYTTCAAAAATGTCATGGTTTTACTTGGCCCAATTTTTGGTGGTGGGGGGATGGGACCAAGAAACCACAAAGATGGCTCCTGTGAGGAGGTTCTAGAAGCTCTCTCCTTCTCCAGAAAAGCTCACAGATCCCAGGGTAAACCAGTGGCTCTGCATGATGTACAGGTGGCTTTAAGAAAGGAAGGAATGCATTTTCTAGACTAAGACCTGCTGTTTTATTTTTAAAAGCTGTGTTCTCTCTTCTGACAGTTAGCAGCCAGTCTCAAGAGCGGGCTAACTGTTGCACCAGTAGTTTTGTAACCTTGGACATCTAAATAAGAGAGAACCACAGCATGTGATGGTAAAGAGACCATTATTCTATTTTGTATTAGAAATAGGTTTTCTTTCTCTTTATCTGTTGTGGTTGGTCTCATCSACTACCTTTTGTTTAACAGGATAAAGTTGCTTCCAAGAATAAAATACTTCTGCTTGTATTTAACTTTCTAAAACCATATTCTTAAGAAATAGCTGCTTTATCTCATTAACTGCATAGAAACCATTTAAATTAGCTCCCTAATCTAGATTTGTAGTACAAGTGTGAGGAGTCCCTGTGCATTCAGACTGAAAGCTAATGAAATACGAGATTTTTAAAACAATTATTCAGCRTGATAGAAAACATAGATGTTCCCAGACTTCTGCATTAAAAGCACTGATGGTATTTCATATTTATGTTTATTGTTGGATGGTGGAAGGTTTTTTATTTGTTTAATAGCTTCAAGACTATGCATTCACTYTGTGAATAACTTTGGATGCCGGTTTATTCTTCTCCATGAGAACGAATCTCTTTTCCAGAGTTTATCATGCTTCAGATACTGCAGTAAAGCATTWGAAGTGCTTAGTTTCCAAGTTCTTTAATGGGGATTTGCTGACTCGTAAATGATCTGTGCCTGGAATGAGTGCTCTAATGCTTTTCTTACACTTGGAACTTTTTTAAATTTATGGAATTCTTGCTTTGAAAAATGTATTTGTTAAATATACACATAATGCTTTTTGCATATACTTACTGCATATAATCTCACTCTTTGTAATACAGGTTTGTTGTGTAATGTCAGTCTGGTAGACAACAGGCAATAATAGTGGAGCCCAAAGCAGTGCTTGATGTTTCTCTGGTAATAGATCTTYCACGAGCAAGGATGGTTTTCTGCAGCACATCAATATCGTTCTCCTTTAGCAGAGTTTTAAGGAAATGTGCCTTACAATACAAAATAAACTGTTTAGTATACTGTTACTTACATTACCTATGTATTGATGTATGTGTATCAGCTTAGTATATGAATGAAAATATACAGCATATTAACTCTATAACAAAAGAATTGGTCAATAGATTTTAAGTTATTGAAAGAACAAGAAATACATAATGAAATTTTTTTTTCACCTGTAGCAAAAGTGAATTAGAGACAGTAGTGGAACATTTGATCTTTATAAACATATTCATAACTCTTTCCATTAAACATATCTCTAGTTTACATGTCTTGAAATTGCTCAAATTTTTGTTGTGGCTGAGAAGTGACCACTTTGCCGACATGATTAGATGCACTGTGGGCCTGTTGATGCTTCAGGGTGAGCTGTCACAGTTATCCTTATGTAAAAAGTCTTTCACCATTGTTAACGTTTCTTTTGAATCTTGCTTGCCTGTAGGTGAGATAGAAGAGAGGTTGTTTTTTAAATGATAGTTCTTTTCTCTATAGGTATAACTGAAGTCCAGGTAAGGAAGTTTTAATWGCTGTCCAGCGTCATCTGTAGCACTGAGCTTTTTCTATGCAGTTTTCACTTCACATACACTTGAGAAGCGGCCTACTCTGGTTCCTTTACTCTGTGTATCTTGACTCAGTGTGATGCTATTTGGTTCAGATTGAACATGCTYCCCCCAAACGCATCATCTTGCTGTATTTGTTGTGAGAGTGGCTTCTGATTAACCTTTAGGCCAAGCACAGTAAAGATATTTTTTTTTTTGTGAGTCACCTAAAGCCTGTACTTGAACAGTAATGTGTCTGAAAAGCTGTTGAACTAAGTATCAAGTAGGCAGCTAAGAACTTTAGACATGCCAAGATCATTTAAAAAAAAATAAGAAGGCACGCCAAACTTGCTCTCTGATTGGAGCTGCTTTTGCAACAGGGATTTCAAATAGTCATTACCACTGTCCCGTACAGTCTGTATGGTAAGTTTTCTAGCACCATTCTCTTTTCTGTCTTAGGACATCTTGACAGTTGAGTGGCAAAGGAGCAATTAGAAGGGTGCAGATGCAATCCTGCTGTATGTCTTGGAATATGTGGCAATTATTATGCCAAAAGACTGTGAGAAGGGAAGTGGCCCTGTATTGACTGCCAATTTACTATCTGCTATAGTCATAGCAGCAATCCAAATGGAGAGGGTTTCCTGTTTAGGGAGTAATCAGTAAAACTTATATTAGAGATTGCAAGTGTTGGTTTCTCTGATCTTGAACTCTCAGTCTTATTCTGTGTGTGTTACTGAGTTGAATTATCAGCAGAGAAGGAAAAAAATTCAATATTCAGCACACAAGTCTGCTTTTCTTTTAAAATAAAATCAAATAAAAATGGGACTACAGGTAAAATGCAAGTGCATATTTTAGTATGTAATATTCTCCTTCTATCTTTGTCATATCAACAGATAAAGTTTTATCACTAAAGGAAGAAAGTGTTGCCTATACAACATGGATTATAGATACCAAAAATTCCTCTTGGAACTAYGCCAAAAATCTGCTCTTTTCAAGGCATCAATCTCAGGTTGATTAACACGCTTAATAGGATGTCTTAAACTTACATGACATTTTAACCTATGTTTTTGCAGGCTAGCCAGATATTAAGAGGCAGGACCCTTGTATATATTTGTTATTATGCTTTTCAAGAGTATCCAGAATGTTTTGTGCTTTGACAACGTCCTTGGTATATTATGGCTGTACAGTAGAACCTCAGTGCTGCTAGGTGTTTGTGAATCCTAAAGGTTCCTTTGATGTACTTGATAAGAATGAACACATTTTCCCAGAAAGATGAAGCTTTTCCTGGAATGGCTTAATTCTAATGAGTCCCTAAACCGCTCTTATTATCATCAAATGGTAACTCCTTAATCTCTTTCTTCTTGCTTCTTTTAGCACCACTTCAGCCTCTGTTTTAGTCAATGTATGTATTGAAGGAAAATTAAAATAAAGTTTCACTGGGAGGGRTATAATTAGAAAGGAAGAATATAGGGAGGTTAGCAGAAAGGAAATYAATGAAACTTCCAATGCAGAGCCATTGCATGTCAGCAAAAGGAAATGGAGCCTTGCACTTAGATGCTTGAACAGGCTTTATCCCCTGTAAATTCATGTTGAAAACTATAAATTAAGCAGAGGAAGGATCAAAATTATTAGCTGAACCCAGAGCTAAATAAGACTGTAGACTAAAGATTCAGCCTTATTCTTAGCCACAAACTTGAGTTCACATTTTTTTATTTAATTGGTAAATAATTTTGAAAATTTGGCTAGCAATGGGGTTTGTGTGTGCTACTTTCTTTCAAAACCAGCACCTGCTAGAGGTAGTAATGGTAGGTATATTGTGGAGTGTGTGAATATGTATATGTACTTGGACCTTTTTTGTGGCATAATTCTCTGATGCTC